TTTATTTGATATTATTTTTACTTATTTTTTATTTTCTTTTTTCTTAAAATAATATAAAAATTTATATTTTTTTATCATTTTATTCTTATAATCTAGGTCAAAGGAATATAAAAGTGTGTAACAGTGTAAGTTGGTACGTTGGCACCTAACTTGCAACATGAAAGTGATTAATTAAAGAGGAATGCCCATACTCTTTACTTTAATAACCCAAATCTATAACCTTAAAATTACTCATTATTGGTTTAAGTCTCTTGGTCTTACTTCCAAAATATTGGTCACACACATCATTCTTTATGACGTGTCACCCACGATGTGGTTTTAAGCCTTACTCGTTACAGTTTCCAGGGTTTGCAGTGTGAAAATAGGGTGTTTTTGTAGATGGAGTTGCTCTTGCGAACAGTAAGTTAAGAACGCGCTATATGTTATAAAAATATTATTTTATATTGCAAAAGATATCATGATTGGACAACTCTTCTTGTACATGCAAATAAATAAATAAATAAATTCTATGAATGTTCGATGCTAAATATTTGGAAACAAATTTGTTGAACAATTCACCGCTTCTGTATTTTATAACAATTTTATTTATTCTATTTGTATCATTTCTGGTTCTTATTATAATTTAAGATTTATATTAATAATAATGATAACAGAAATTATAAGAATAAAATATAACTTTTATAATTTAAATTTAAATAGTCTAAGTCATAAAATTATTATAATAATAATAATATAAATTAATTAATATATGTAATAATTTTTATTAAATATATACTAATAAATATCACTTATTAATATATAATGTTAATATTATTTTATAATATTAATGAGAAGTTTCTAATTTAAAAATAATTTATCTTACATAATTTTATCATTTTAATTAACATGTTATTTGTTATAGAATATTCTATAGATTTGATATGTGTGAAATTAATGATTATTCAGTGACGAAATCATCTATTATACCTAATTTAAAATTTTGGCTATGATAAATTAGATGATATTTACAATAAAGATAATTAATAATTATTTTAAAATATTTGAAGTTATAGAGTCATTTTAAAATATTGTTATAATCTGGCTTTTATTCTTATGAAATGTTATTAAAATAAAGAAGAATTAAAATGGTATTTTTCTCCTTTCTTCTAACACTACCTTCATCCCTCACCTCACCTTGTCATGCACTTGACAAAAGGGGGAAGAAAGACAAAAGGGCAAAGAAAAATCATGCACTTGAGAGAAGAGAGGAATGACCCACCAGAGAAACGCCTACCAAGAGGAACCCGCCCACCATGTTGACTTTATGTTCAGTTACTTTATGTTCTTTACAATTTTCTTCTGAAAAACATTAAATTCAAAGATTTTATTTACCAAACTGCCACTGTAGCTTTTAAGTCTCTATTTTTTTATAAGTTTTTAATTTTTATAAACAGACTTAAATTTAGAGATTTTATTTACTAAACTGCCAGAGCATGACTTTTAAGTCTCTATTTTTTATAAGTTTTTATTTTTTATAAACAAACCTAAATTTAGAGATTTTATTTACCACACTGCGACGGCATGGCTTTTAAGTCTCTATTTTTTATAATATTATTTTATAATGTTAATGAGAAGTTTCTAATTTAAAAATAATTTATCTTACATAATTTAACCCTTAATCGATATTATAGGTTTTTTTATTCTGTTTCTTTCCTTTTCTTTCCCTCTCAAAGTTTTCTTATATATCTCTTTGGAAGGGGTTGGTTGCTTGATGTCAAAGTTTCTGTCAGGTACCAGTTAGAAATTAGAGAAAGAATGAACACGTCTTTTTTCTAGGA